ACGCTACAGAGCTCTGAGCACCAGAACGACCAGACACAGGAACAGTTTCTTCCCTCAGGCAATCCATCTCATGAACACTTGACAATAACTGTGGAACACACAACACTATTTATACACTCATACACTTATTTATCTAACACACACACTTAGTCTACACCTCAAATTTGCACATAATATACCTACATACAAAACTGTCTCATTGTAATATACCTGCACATACAATTGTCAATTTATATATTTTTATTTCTTATTTACTTGTTCTATTTTTTTATTTTTCTATTCTTCTTTTATTATCTGTGTTTTTGTACTGTTGCTGTCATTGTTGCACTGCGGAAGCTTCTGTCATGAAAACAAATTCCTCGTATGTGAAAACATACCTGGCAATAAAGCTCATTCTGATTCTGATTCTATTCTACTGAAAATATTTTTAACGTTTACAGATTGGGCCCCATTTATTTCCATTGTAATTGCCACAACTGTAAGAAATTGAGGGAATGGATTTTTTTTCGTGGTAATCAACATTATATGACACAAATGCTGTTGATATAGAAGTTAAAGGAATAGTTCACCCAAAAAATGAAAATTTGCTGAAATTTTACTTACCCTCAGGCCATTCAAGATGTATGTGAGTTTGTTTCTTCATCGGAACAAATTTGTAGAAATTTAGCATTACATCATTTGCTCACCAGTGGATCCTCTGCAGTGAATGGGTGTCCACAAGTAATCGACACAAATCCAGTACATAAATTAATGACTTATGAAGTGAAAGGTTGTGTGTTTGACACTTTTAACTTCAAACCTCTGCTTCTGGTTAAAACATGAGTCCTCTTATTTATGGATTTTAGACTGGTATTTTGGCCAAAAGTGACAGTTAAAAGTTAAAACACTTTGACAATGGATTTGTTTCTTAAAAGCAAGCAGCTTTGCACTTCACAACACATTACTTCACAACAAACTGACTTTCATTCTGATGGCACCCATTCACTGCACAGGATCCACTAGTTAGCAAGTAATGTAATGCAAAATTTCTCCAAATCTGTTCTGATGAAGAAACAAATGCATGTACATATTGAATGGCCTGAGGGTGAGTACATTTTCAGCAATTTTTCATTTTTAGGTGAACTACACCTTTATCTTGTACTAAAGCCTTTAATAAATGTCTGAATACCAAAAATACATAAAATGACTCCAAACCAACAGTATTTCTGCTAAATCAAGAAAGAGGCTGACAAGGTTAATTAATGATCACAAGACACAAAGCATATCATAGCTCATTTGTGGATTAGTGACAGTGACATCATTTCATAGGTTTTAGCGTGTTGCGTAATGGCTGCCTAATTATACCCTCTCACCTCACTCCATGTTACTACCACGTACACCCACTGCGTGTGTGCTTGCTTGTGTGTGAACCTTGCACCTGCACCTCTTGCTCATCTAACACTGTGACACATTCACACTCCACCCCACCTCAGAAATAAACTAACCACCCTTGACTGCCTTTTCACCAATCAGGAGAATGAAGAGAAATATCAGAGAGATAATTAAAGAGCCTATGTAAGCTTTTAGTCCACATCTGTAGCTTTTAGTCCATATCTGTTAAGATTAAATTAATCTATAAGAAGTGCACTGGTTCTCAGCTGCTTAGACTATACATGGGACATCAAGTAGTGTTTTGTAACTATACATAAGAAAACAAAGATGTCCTTAAAATCAAACACTGAAATGTATTAATATCAACTTAAACTATATAGTACCAAAAACATGCAAATTCTTTAACATGTTTGTTTACCAAAAATCTTGACAAAATTGAATAAATTATATATATATATATATATATATATATATATATATATGGGATGGGAATTGTAAAGAACTTAACGATTCTTTTAGTAATTTGAATAAATAATAATAATAATAAAATAAAGAAAAAAGAAATACAATTGCTTTGCCAAATGATGACGAAAAAAAGAAGTAACTTCTTTAAAAGACGAGAAGTCAATTCATTCTGTGTAAATGCAGAATTATTAATGACTTCATTCTTAAAAGAGGTATACATTTTTTCATTTTATTATTTTTTTAATGGAACAATTCCTAAAATTCCTGAAACAATTCTCAGCTCTCAAGTCCCAAGTACAGTTCTCAGTATTTAAAACAAAATGTAAACCGTTCATTATACATTTACTCTAATCAATTCTGATGACTAATATTGCACTCAGGGGGCCCCTATCATACACCTGGCGCAATGTGGCGCCAGGCGCGACCGTGACGCACGTGTTTTTTGCTAGTTTCAGCCCAACGCAGTTGTCATTTTCACATCCTGCGCCACGTTGTTTAAATAGCAAATGCATTTGCACCCATTTGTGCGCCCATGGGCGTGCTGGTCTGAAAATGAGGTGTGTTCAGGCGCATTGAGACAACTGAAATAGACTGCGCCATTGACCAACAAAAATCTGGTTTAAAGTCAATGGCGCAGTAGTTTCAATGGCCCAGGAATGTTAAAAAATAGAGAATGTCCCTCCCACTAATACTGCCTGTCACCAACCAGAATAGCAAGTAGCAACTCATGATTCATGGCTATTATATAAATAAAAGTATATTGGCAACTTAAATTAACTGTGCGTTCACACTTATAGTTCGGTTCTCTTGGTTCGTTTTGGTCCGGACCAAAAAAGAAAACGATACATTTGGTCCTGGTCCGCTTAGCGTTCACACTGGCATTTTTGACAGCGAACCTAAAGATACCGAACCAAAAGGCATAATGATACGTTCACAACCTGATTGGTCGGGTTGAATGATGTATATTTCACGATGGAACTCACCGAACACCCCAAACAAAAGCTGTGTTTGACTTAAAGCGGCGCTGCGGGTGTATGATATCAAAGCATCCATTCACCGATCAGTCTGCGCTTTAAGTCGAACACACCTAATGCCGTCTGCTGGACTGCGCGCACTGCGTGTTCTTATGATTTTATTTTCACCACCTGCGAACTCACGAAGAGCTCATAAAAGATACTTTACCTCCTCATTACTCCACGTTTGCCCTCTGCTCATTTTGTTTTGGATACACCACTCGTTCCGCTTCGTCAAATCATGTCGCATAGCGTCGAATCTTGTCATTACTTCCTGATTTTGGTTCGTTTAGAAGTATTTGGTCCGTCTTGCGTTCATATTTTATTCGAATCACACCAGAGTTCGTTTGGAAGCGGAACAAGACCCAACTTTTTAGCGGTCTCGGTCCACTTGTTTGGTGCGCACCAGAGTTCGGATGGCAGCATTCATACTTACTCAAACGAACCGCACTAACAGAGCAATCACACCTCAGTTCATTTTAATCGAACCAAACATGACAAGTGTGAACACAGTGAGGAGCCCTTCAATACTCCCCAACTTCTTGTTTTAATATTAAATATATCAACACAGGATAGAAAACTGTGCCATTTTATGCCATTTCAAAAATGTTATAGGATATAGAGATGAAAAATGAAACAAGCTAGATCTACCTCTTGTCATCCTCCACCTGAACCCCTATGGAGTGCACCTCTCTCAGCGATTTGCCTTCTGGGTCTGAGTCAGACAACGTCTCTGAGCTGTCCACCTGGAAAACACAAAGAGAGACATTTAACAAAATGTTGCACAAGAGAGAGACATCATTGGGTCTGAATCGCTCATGGGATTATCCCCTCTTATACCTGCACTGCAATAGAGGGTCTCCACTTCCTCCCTCGTCCTTCCTGTTCTCCTCCAGTTAGAGCTTTAGCTAGGGACATACTGTTCTGGGGGAGAGAGGCTGATTTTCCCAGGCTGCCTCCAGCCCGCTCCCTAGAGCCCCTGGACCCCTCCAGCAGGTTATCGGCTGAGCTGCTGTGTTTCGGTTTCATTGGACCAGGTCCACCAGGGTAGGCGATGCTGTGAAGGGCCCTGCCGTTCAGACTCTCCGCGGAGTTGCTGCTCTGTCTGACACGCGCCGTGCCCCCACCAAGATAGTGCCCACCTCTGGAGCTACGGCCCCCGCTGCTCTCCGTCAGGTCCACTGAATTGCTGTGCTGTCTGGGCCTGACCAGAGCGGGCTGTCCTGTACTCTGGAAGTAAGCGTCCTGAGTGGACTCAGTGCTGCTCTGAGCGGTCACTGAGATCATTGGCTTGGACATGCGAGGGGGAAGAGGAGGGGGTCCTTTCCTGTGTGGGAACACTAGACCGACAAAGACAGAAAGGTTTTATTAATACTGCTATTCAAATATATCATTCAGTTGAAAGATAAAGGGATGTTCACTCAAAAGTGTCACCACAGAAGGAATAAAACATACTCTTCCTTTGAGTTAACTTTCTGCTGAAGAGGGAAAATCATTAGTAAGGAGAACAGAGGAAGGTGAGGATGCAAGGACTTACATCACATAACCTGCTGGAGGCTTCAAGTATTAGGTACATTTTTGTAGGTAAGAAAAAAGATGGGTACACAAACCAACACAAACACTGATATGTTTTCAGTACAATTAAAAAAAATACAACCAAGACAAGCATGTGGCTTCTTTATAGGTGCCTTGTTTGTAATTTCATCCTTCCCCCTTTTTGTTTATCGTTTGGCCGTATTGTAAGAGAAAACAAAATTACAATGTTAGTGACGGCCATAAGCTTCTGCATCTAAAGGTCTGATCTCATTAGTGTTAGTATCAGTAGCCACTAACCTGTTGTCATTGTTTTATGAGTGACAAAGTGTTGGGTCACAACCTTTACTAGTGTTATGGAAGAATTTTGGTAATTGTCAAGCTGAAAGTTGGTATGGAGAACTATTTTGCTTCTGACTAAGACAGACAGACAGACAGATAGACAGATAGACAGATAGATAGATAGATAGATAGATAGATAGTAAAAGAACTACAGTTTACAGCAAAGACAAAGAAAATTGTGAGAATACATACTGATATATGCACAGTGGTGGAAAGAGTACTGAAAAAATATACTGAAGTAAAAGTACCATTACCTTCTGTCTTTTAAAATTCTGGCAGTTTAATGCCTACAAAAACGGCTGGTAGGGACTACAACAAGTTACTTCCTGACTTCATGACATCACAAACCCAGATAAAGCACGATCCTCTTTAATAATATCCTCTGCTTCTCAATCGGGCTCAAACTGATAAGCAATATAGATGACGCCATTGTTTACAATACAACCGGAGCACATGCCGCTGAGGTGAGGGACGGGACGTTTGCGCACTAGAGGCGGTTTAGCCAATCACAACACACTGGGCTAGCTAACCAATCAGAGCCCATCGCCTATTTCTGAG